TGTGCTTAACCACTAGCTGAAAGCTTGGCCGTTTGGATCTTACCAACAGCACTGGGAAAGAAAGGCCTGATGGTCCCTAAGATCACAGCCACTCTGGAGCTTGCCGCTCACTCCTCCTGAGGGGCAGAGAGAATAGAGGGGGGAAGGGGGAGGGGCGGGGGGGAGAGCAGCTGAGTCTTCTCAAAGCCCACAGGACTTACACAAATTGAGGGTGGGCAGGGGAGTTCTTTAGAGCAGACAGGGAGGCGCTCAGTACCAGCTTCCTCCCCAATCCACCCCACCCCCACTCTGTCCCTGCAAACAGACACCTCCCTCCAGGGGAAAGTGTCCATCGGCCTTCTGGGTAACATGTGACAATGTTCACAAACATGTCCACACCTGGGGTGTCCTCTGATGCCGATGCCACAGCCCCGTGAGGGCATGAGGCCCAGCAGAGGAGAACAACTCTCAGAGGGGGCAGGGAGTGCAGCGTGGCGTTATGTCCTTAAATCTCCGCTGTCCTGTGCTCCCCCCAGCTCACCAAATTAAAGCCAAACACACCACCATCGAGTTGATTCTGACTCTTAAGGACCCTATAGGATTGAGTAGAACTGCCCTTGTGGGGTTCCAAGACTATAACTCTACAATGCCGCCCTTCTCCCTTGGAGCGGCTGGTGGTTTCAAACTGCTGGCCTTGCAGTTAGCAGCCCAATACATAACCACTACACTACCGGGGCTTACAGGGAAAGATTTCTTCAAGGTCAAGGAACATGCTCAATCTCAGTGACAGGAATGGGTCTCCAGTCCTGAGCTCCAAGTCCAGTGTCCATCACTGTGGGTGGTGCAGACAGATGTGCCTTAACTGCCCTGGGGGGTCGGCAGCTCTGAAGTACGTAGCTGGAGAGAGTTCCAGCTCCCCAGAGACACCATGGGCTTTAGCTTTTATCTACCAACCCCCAAACTCATGGCCACTGAGTCAATTCCAACTGCTGCTGATTCCATAGAGGGCTTAGGAAATTGTACATCTTTAGGGAAGCAGACAGCCTCATCTTTCTCCCAGAGAGCAGCTGGTGGCTTTGAACTACCAACCTCAAGGTTAGTAGTTCACAATGCCCTGGCCGACAGAGCCAACAATACTTTTAACTCAGATCTATGGAAATCGTGGTGTCCTGTGGGAAAGATGGAGGAGGCTCTTGGTGAAGGTGGGGATGGGGTGGAGGCTGAACTAGGTCTCCCTCCTCACAGCAAATTTGGGAGGAGTGGGGTGCAGGGGAAGTGTTGAGGGTGAGAGCCCAGGACTGAAAGGTTGGAAGAGAAAGAGGAGGATGAGCAGGCAGGCTTCACCCACCATGGCCTAGCAACGCTTGGGGGGCTGGGATCCACCTGTGGACACACTGTGGCCCCAGGGCCATGGAGACTCAGGTGTGGTCCTCAGCAAATACTTGAGCTGAGAAAGGGATCCGGTACCTGCCTGGGAAGTAGGTCAGGTGTGGCGCGGGGCTGCATGCCAGGGAAAGTATTAAATGAGCTTCTAGCTCATTTGCATGTCCTAATTAACCATAAAATGAGCCCTGGGGGCAGAATTAAGCTGTCAGTTTCTCACTACTTACTTCCACTATCTACTCCACCCCTACACACTCTCCTTCTACTCAACACCGCCCCTGCCCCTGCCCCACCCCTTCCTGCCTGGCTTAGGCCTCTAGCGTTTCCATTCCCCTCCCCTCTCAGCGTCAGTACAATAAACAGTCTCCATCATTGTCACCGCAGGGGCCCAGAAGGGGAGGAAAAAGTTTAAAAAACGATGAGAGGTAAACGAATTGGCCATCATCTTTCTTTAACAAAGCACGACACAGCGGGTGGGGCGTCTGTCAGCCGGGTCAGGATCCCCCTGCTGGACAGACAGGCTTCCATTTGTCATGCACACAGGGCACAGATCATGGGGTGGACTGCTTGCCTGGACTTTGAGGCAGATCCGGATGCTGTGCGGGTCGTGTACCAGGCACAGGATTGCGTCCCCAGGCGGGCTGTTTCACTGTCTGCCCTGCGACAGAGAGGCTTTGGTCAAGATGTATGCTGCCCTAAGTCTGCCCCAGAAAGTTAGAATCTCAGGGGCGGCGTACAGGGGGTGCCCTGAGCAGGAAATGAGATCTCTCAAAGGCGAAGGTATCCAAACTAAACCCGGTCAAATGCACTGCCCCACAGGGGCTTCTGAGGCTGGGGATCTTTACAGACACAGGTTGCCACGTCTTCAGTGGAGCAGCTGGTGGGTTCAAACCACGAACTTTGGGCTTGTGGCCTTAACCTTTGTGCCACTAGGGACCCTGCAGCTGGCAGCAAACAGCACTTCCTAATTGTTTTGTTCCGGCCTTAATTAAAAACATGGTTCCATTCCCTGGAATCCTTTCCAGCCAGCAGCTTCTGTCTTTCCCACTGTTCTGCCTTGAGGTCGGGAGCAGTCCTGCCTTCCTAACACCACACGTGGCATGGGGTGGGGGTTCAGGGGGTGGGGGTGGGGTCGAGTGTGACAATGTTCACAAACATGGCCACACCTGGGTGTCCTCTGATGCCGATGCCACAGCCCTGTGAGGGCGTGAGGGCCAACAGAGGAGAACAACTCTAGAGACACCACCACGGGGGCTGTATTTTTTCTTTGCGTTGGGTCACGGGGTTAGTGCCTACACTGAGGGGGCAGGGAGTGCAGCGTGGCCTTATGTCCTTAACTCTCAGCTGTCCTGTGCTCTGCCCTCAGAAAAGATGGATTACTGGAGGATGGCCAAGGGGTGACTTGATTTCCTACAGAATCCTTCCAGACTCGAGTTGGTGCCATTTTGAAGAATTTGCTATATGGCCAGGGGCTGGCTCCTTTTAGTAGATGGAATGTTGACATGATGGGATAGCTCCACGCACAGTTCTCTCTCTCTCTCTCTCTCTCTCTCTCTGCAGTCACAGCCTTCACCCAGAGTGGTGCGTTGCAGAGAGACAAAGACTGGGCACTTGCAAACTGCAAGGAGAGGAGAGGCTCGGGCTTGGGCGCGGATAACACTAGGGTTCAAATCCCAGGTCTTCCCTGTGCTAGTGTGAAACCAGACTGCTGCTCCCTACTGCCAGCCCAGCGGTCCTGACTCACAGTGGCCCCATGGGACTGGCTAGAACTGCCCCTGTGGGCTTCTTCGTGGGAGTAGAAAGCCTCCTTTTTCTCCCGAAGAGGGGTTGGTGGTTTCAAACTGCTACCCTTGCAGTTAGCAGGCGAACAAATAAGCCCTAGGCCACCAAGTATCGTGATTACATGAGCCTTGAAAGCCACTGCTCTCCGCTAAGTGCCGGCTTGGCCAGTGTAGAGCTGCCCCTGAGGGTTTCCGAGACGGTATCATGTTGTTACCAGAGCGGACAGTCTCACATTTCTCCTGCAAATCGGCTGGTAGGTTTGAATTGCCAACGTGGCGGTCAAGGGCGCAACGCCAAACCCCCAGCGCGACCAGGGTCCTTCCATGCGCCTTAGGAGCCTGCAGTTATCAGGGGGAAAACCCCAGCCCGTTCTGAAGGTTGAAAGAGCCGGCGTGCACATTGCCTGCAAACGGTGGGTGCTCAGAGAATTGGGCGGCCCTTTCCCCTTCCTGTAGTTTCACCCACCAAAAGGTGACTATCTGCCGCTTCTCTTCCTTGCCTGGGAACCGCTGCGCTCCCCCCTCCCCCACGCACCCTCCCTCCACTTCTGTCTCCTGAGGGCCCAGGGTGCGGGAAGAAGCGCTTTTCTTGTTCTTATTTTTCGTCTCCAATTTGCTATTAGTGCTCGGAGGCCAGGAAGGCGTCTTGCCTCTAATTGCAGCTGTCACACCCCATCAGGCTGAGGGGGGCAGCCGGGTGGGGGTGAGGGCGTGCCCTGCGCGGCTGGTTCGGCCCTAACAGGGACCCACATTGTCTTTTCCCAGCCAGTGGGCGTTCCGTGCCTGCACTGGGAGGGCTTCCAGAGGGGGCGGGCCGAGGCGGGCCCTTGATCCGCTGGCCAATTGCCAGAGCGTCTTTAGAAAAGCTCTATGCAGGCCTTGGCTGACCTACGCTGGGAGCAGTTACAGTCCCTGCTGGCCCTGGCTGACTCTGGGTGCCTGTAGCGCGCCCGAGAGGCGGCCCACGGAATGCGGCTAGCGGGTTAAAAACTGAGCAGGGATTTCTGTGGGCTCTCCTTTGCCCCACCGGAAGAATCCCGTGGTGTCACCAGGGGTTCATTAAACCCTGGGCTACTAACCAAAAGGTTGTGCTTCAACTGAGTCCAAGAAACCAAACTCACAGCCACGGAGTCCAGAAACCCCCTGAAAACCCATGCCCTCCCTCTCCAAGGGCACAGTGCAGTGGGCACGGACTTTGTGACAACTGGCTTGGCTTGTGTTTTGGGCAGTGTCCCAGGTGCTAGCTCAGGGCAGATGGTTTTAAGCTGTTGACAGGCACATGCATGTGTGTGCGTGTGTACTACCATGACGTTGACGTGGACCCGCAGTGGCTCTATCGGTTTTCTCTGGAAGCTGCTGGGGCAGGGGTTGGGGGGGTAGGGGGGTGGGTGTGTTGAACTGCAGCTCAATGCTTTCACTGCTTGTCGGCCCAGGTCTTTCTACCTCCAGTGAGTGGTATGAACTCGGACAAGTCGCACGCACGTCCTGGCTTATTTCCCCGATGACCAGTAGGCTGGAGAAAGGAAGGAGAGGACCCCACAAAGGCTGCCCTTCCTTTGGGGAAGACTATAAAGAGTAAGTGGGGCTTCTCAGGCTCCCTGGGGGGCACAGCTGTTTGCTTTTGATTGGAAACTACCCACGCGCAGCAGCACACAGAAGAAAGGCCTGGTGATCACAGCTTGGAACGCAGGATGCTGCCACAGGTTGGAATCAACTCCGCAGAGGCAACGGGGTTTTTGTTTCTTCTCCTCTGGGCCTGGGGATGGGCTGCTTGGCCTGGCTGTGTCCCGCTGACGTGTAGGAGGGTTGGGTCCACCACTTGGCTTGGCCTGATCAGCAAGCATCATGAGGCTGGGGTGCACCAAAGATGAATCTTTATTGGGGGCCTCTAGGGAATGTGAAGCCCCAGTGACATTCCGTATAGAATGGTCAAGTGAAGTCTTTGGGGAGCAGTGAAGGAATTCTGGGGAAGGGGGTTTCCCTGGCTGGCCGCCTCTCTCTGGCCCATCTCTGCTATTATCTCCAGCCCCAAAGGTGCACACACACGCACACTCCCACTTCACCCACCAGCCAACCCTTGCACCAGCTGCACACCTCTCGCTGGGAGACCTGGGGGCCTGCTGCTTCTCTTTAGGAAGAGAACGTAGAGTCGGGCCTCTAGAAGCCAGGCCTCCCAGGTAGGTCGCAGCATCTTCACAGTTCCTACGACTCAAACCCAGACAGCCGTGTTCATATCAAAGCCAGCAGATAGGGGCTCCTTGGGACAACTTGTGGCAGGATTCTCCACTCTCTTGGGCTCCTTGATGCCAGGGAAGGAGAAATGTCCTGAGCCCTTGGGGTGGCTTCGCTTCTTGACCTTCTGGGGGCGTCTGGCTCGGGGCTCAGAAGCCAGGGGCGTCACCCAGCCAGGCTTCTCCTTTAGCAGCCGGTCCCGGTCTGGCCGCACACTCCTTAAGAACTTCCTAAAGATGTTCGCGGTCAGGGCAAACCTGCGGCCCAGCTCCCGGAGCTGGCCCCGTCCACCTTTGGGCTCTGCAGCCTCCCCAGTCTCTTCCTTCTCCCCACCCTTCTCCAGTTCTGGCAGGTCCAGCCAGTTGCCCACCAGGTCCGCGAAGACATTGTCCCCTAGCACCAGAGGCTGTCGGTTCCGGCCCCGGGACATCAGTGTGGAGGTCCAATCATCAGGCTCCACATGCTCTGGCCCATGCTGGGCAGGGCTGTGGTGCTCTGACAGCTGTGTCCCGGGGAGGGGGGGCACGCCCCTTCCACAGGCCCGCCTATGGGGGGAGAACCTGGTGCTGCTGTCAAGAGAAGGGTGGCTGGAGGGGGAGCCAGCTGGGGGCCTGGCAGGGCCCCTGCCACCCTCACGGGGTGGAGGCTTGGGTGGTGTCCAGGGACTTTCAGGGCAGCTCGAAGCAGGCTCCCCTGCAGAGATCTCCAGCTGTTCCAGCGCTGTCTGCACCTGGAGGAGCTTCAGTTCCTGCAGCGCCCCCATCATGCTGTTCATCTGGTCCTGCAGGCCATCCCCCACCTCCTTCATGGACACCTGCAGGGAGGAGAGGAAGCACCCAGTGAGTCTCTGTGGGCATGCAACTGCCCCTCACTGGCCTAGAAGCCAAGCACACGTCTCCAGGCCAGCTGCAGCTTACACAGACCCACCTCTGCTCCAGGGAGACCAGTGCTGGGGGGACTTTAACACTGGTCAATCTGGATAAAGGACATGGGACCCAGGGCTACTAACAAGAGAAGGTAGCCACTGCCCCGGGGGTTCTTATAGACATGTATTATTCATTGGGTCAATGTAACTTCGTATATAGGAAGAAGAATTGGTGCTAGTGAAGTATGGTGTTGGTTGGGGAAGATTATTGGATAAACCATCTACTACTGCCAGAAGGACAAGCAAATCTGTCTTGGGGGAAGTACAGCCAGATGCTTTTTAGATGCCTTGAGATGAAGAGACTTGCACAAGTCATTGGGAAAGACCAACTGATCGATAGAAAAAGGTATCATGTTCGGGAAAGCAGGTCAATGAGCATGGGCAACACCCTCGGATGGATTGCCACGTCAGCCACAACACTTGGGCGCAGACATCAAAGACCGTAGAAATAGTGCAGGATCGACCGGCAATGTGTGTTCTGTTCGACATATGGAGCTGACTTGACGACAAACAGCTACCACATATCAATCTCTACTAATGTATGCCTATCCCAGGAGGTGCTGTTACATTGCTGTCACACCTACATTGAGTCCATTCGGGCTCAGTGACCCTGTGTGCAACGGAAAGAAACGCCACTCCGTCCTGTGCCATCCTCACAACGCCTGTTAGCCTTTGCGCCCAGGGTCCCAGCCACTGTGTCAATCCATCTCATCCAGGGTCCCAGTGGATGTTGGCAGCTGTTTCTCCTCCTTTTGAGTCATGCCCCATCCATCCGTGAAGGTCTTGAAAGCTGTGCTCCATCCACCTCATCAAGGTCGACTCTATTTTGAGGAGGCAGCTCTTCTGCAGCTGTATTTTGATGCCTTTCCACTGGAGGGGCTCGCCTTCTAGCACTGCCTCAGGCAACGTTCCCCTGCTAGTCCCTCAGAGGTGGACCGTCTGTTCCATCTTTGTGACCTGTTCTTAGTCTGGGAGCTCTGCTGAAACCTGCCAACCATGGGTGGCCCTGCTGGTATCTGAAATACCAATCGCATAGGTTTCAGCATCACAGCAACATGCAACCCCCAGTGTGGCAGACTGGGGCGGGTCCTGTGAGGCAGTGACGATTATCGTCCCCATGGTCAAGATGGTGATACTGGGGCACATACGTACGCTCATCGTTAAAAGTGGAGCTGAGATCAGTCTGGGGTTCCATAAGGTTGGCGAGGCCATCCTCGTCCCTCTGTGCCTGTCCATCTCCTCCCGCCCCGAGCCTCCCGGAGACGATGACGACGGCCGCAGCAACAACTTGCGAACACTGGCTGTGTAACAGGGGTTGTGCTAAGCACTCACACCATCTTTACATCAACTCTGGGAGGTTGCTTTCTTCTCGTTTGAACAAATGGGTGAGCCATGGTCTCACACAAAAAACAAAAAAGCCCACTGCCATAGAGTTGATGCCGACTCATAGTGACCTTATAGGACAGGGTAGAACCACCCCTGTGTGAGTTTATGAGGCTGTAACTCTTCACAGGAGTAGAAAGCCCTATCTTTGTTCTACAGAGCTGACGGTGGTTTCGAACTTCAGACCCTGGGAACTGCAGGCCAACGTGGAACCACTGTGCCACCAGGGGTGAACTAACTTGTCTAAGGTGGCAGATAGCTCATGAAGCTGGCTTCACACTCAGGACCCTCACCCTCCGCATGCTATAGTCTACGTGTCCAAATGCCTCTCCGAGACGGCTGGTCAGGGAAGTTTGACTATTTTGTTCTCTTCAGGATGGAGGGGACATCACGGAAAGAAGAGCGATCCAGATTCCACAGAGAAAGCCCTGTGTCTGGGGCTCCCTTTGGGTGTTGTGAACATCGAGTCAGGGGAGGGGATGAGAGGCCAGAAGACTGAAGATTGCTCGGCTCTTCCTAGATCTTCCCCTCCTCCTGCATCCCCG